AAAGTTTTAAGAGTTCATGCATTGTTATGATGAATATACCTCCCTAAATTAACGTATAAATTCACATACTTCCTACAAAAACTCGAGTTTTTCAAAGAAATAGACAAGTTTATTCTAAAAAGGTACAGCATTTTTAAAGATCAAAAATCGTTCAAACCGTCTTGAAAAAAAGAGAACACACTTAGGGCTCTCCAACTCCCTGATTTCAAGACTTACTATAAAGCTATCTTGTAGTGTTGGCGCGCAAACAGGCATTGAATCATCTGAACAGAATAAAGAGTATAGAAGTAAACCCACACATACACAGCCAATTGATTTGCAACAAGGTGCCAAGTTCATTCAGTAAACAAAGGAGAGCCTTTTGGACAACCGTTGCTGTATCGCAGTTGGACATCTGCGTGGGCAAAGCAAAACAACAACAACAGTAAACTTGTCTCCTATCCCTCACCAAACACAAAAATTGTATTTGATACGGATCATGGGCCCAAGCATTACACCCAGAACCATAAATCTTCTAGAAGAAAACAGGAGATTATCTTGGAGAACCTGGAATCAGCGAATTTCCTTGGAGAGGGCATAAACAGCACTGACCAAAAACTTGAAAATGAATTAAATTCCATAAATATTTACAATTTCTGCTCCTTATAAGATACCACTAATAAAATGAATAACCAAGCCGCAGCCTGAGGACAAATATTTATAACACATATAATAAATGATTTGTACTCATAAGGAACACCTACAAATCAACAGTAAAAAGATGAACATCCCAATTCCTCTGAATGAACTGAAGATTTGAACACTTTGCCACAGAAGATGTACTAATGCTCAATAAACATGAAAGGATACTAAACATCTTTAATCTTTAGGAGTTTGCAAATTAAAACTATAAATAAAATACCATGCCATACCCACTGGAGTGGCCAAAATCAAAAGGTCTAACTCCACTGACTACTGGTAAAGATATGGAACCACAGGGAATGGCTCCTTGGATTTCCTTCGAGAAATATTGGCCTGCACTCTCAGGCCATGTGTTTCAGGTAGAGTGGAATCCACCCCTACTTCAGGGACAGGACCTGAGAAAGGCCAAGTAGAACCACAGCAGATAATTAAGAAATATCACCAGGTCTTAGCTGGCTTAGCTACAGTAATCAGAGTCAGCCCTGGGTCTCTGTAATTCTTGGGAAAGAAATGTGATTTTTTTGTTTCATTTTGCATTAACACCTACTCAGGCAGCTTATAAACCTGGTATAATTGGTGGTCATTGTGATCAACACCCTAGGAGAGTCCTTATGAAAAGAAAGCTAACAGAGTTTTATGGAGTTGTGAGGGTTTGGCACCAAATCCAGCACTACATGAGCTTGCTCTAACCCTGAATTGGTCATTTTGGAAAGTCAATGAATTCCCCTTTCCTTCAAGCCAGTTTGAATACTATATTTATTTTGCAACTTAAAAAAAGTATTGAGTAAAACAGAAGTAAACCAGATTCCATTCTTTACTTGCCGTTAAAAAAGTCAATCTAGAATATACTAGAATGTTAGAAGTCCATCTGTGTACTATGTTCTTTTTGATGCAAGTTGGAGGGTGACATTAAAATTTTGCTTTATAAGTAAAATACTTCAAAAAAAAGCTTCTTCTAAAAAGATATGGTATACTATACTATGCTATACCAATTTTAAGCTGAAACATAACTTCTGGAGAAAATATCAGTAGTTAAAATAAATGTGCCCAGGATTAAACTACAAAGGAAACAGCAGTGCCGCAAGAAATGAAAATCCATTATCCAAAATGGTTGGGATGGAGAATGAGCAGGAGAAGAGTGGTGTGCATTACTTTTCAGGCACAGAAATCAAAGTATAATCAAGTTATTCTGCCCACTGGTCAAACCAAATTGCTGGATTTAGAAAAATCAGTTCTAGAAAAATCTGAGACTGTCTGCAGATGACAAACTGATATGAGGGCTACTAGAAATTTTAGAGAGAATGTTCACTAAGAAAACACTTACTTAAAAGCTCATAATGGTTGTATCTACCACCCATTATAAAGACATTTTCAAAATGATACTATGTATGACGTTCAGCATGTCAAATTAAGGTAGACGATCAGTTAACTGAGTGTAGTCCAAAATTTACTATTTTCAGAACTAAAATGGAATAAAAAATACTACCACTGATGTTATTTTTTGAAGTAAATTTTGAAAGAAAAATCCAAATTAGGCTGAAATTTTAATATTAAAACACAATAGTCTTTAGTTCATTATATATCATCCTTGAAACTGAGAATTTCTCTGGGCTCTAAATCAGGCATACAGGTCCATCTCAGATAATAAGAAAAACATCTTTTAATTAGATTTTAATAATAATAGCTGCATTTTTAAAAGGTTATTATTATTATTAAGCACTGTGCTATTTTCTTTAAATATATTTTTATATTTAATCCTTACAATAACCACTTGTTACAGGTTTCATTAAGGTCATTATAGATCTGAGGAAACTAAGAATTACTAAAGTCAAATAAATACCTTGCCTGAAGTGAACAGCACACATGGAATTTGGTCTGTCTCACTTCAGATCCCACATACAAGCCAAATACCAGAAAAAAATTTTTCTGAAGTAAATTTAGATCTAAGAGTGAAGTAAAAAATTCCTAAATTTAGGAACTACAGAGATAAAGATATAGTAGATTGAAGGAAGCCCCTCCTCAACCTTCTGTAACTGCCATTAGCTCAGTTTCAACAGATACCCCTCTTGAGAAATGTAGTCTGTACACATAAAATCCTTAAAAAATCAAGCGCTGATACCGTTTGCAACTCCATTGGAAAAAACAAAACTCAACTCCCATTTTAACCAATATTTTTAAAATTTATGAGTGAGATCAAGATGGAGGAGTAGGAGGATGTAGAACTCACTGCCCCCTACAAATACTCCAAAAATATATCTACATGTGGAACATTTCTCACTGAAAACGAACTAGAAACTGGCAGAAAGGCTCCTGTGCAACCAAGGCTGCAAGGATACACATGTAGGCAGGTGGAAAGGGAAGACAAGTGAATAGGTTGGGGCCTGTGCCCCTGGGGGGAAACTCAGAAGAGGAAGGGCATGCCATGGGCAGAGGTCCTCTCTGGAGAGTGAGCAGTTCAAGACACATCTCGGGTTCCGTAGCCCTAGGGTCCAACACCAGAAAGACAAGTCCAGTCAGCTGGTTAGAAAACCAGTGGGACTAACAGGAGGGCCGTAAGAAACCTAGACTCTGCTCAAGAAGAGCATACACATGCTTTCTTACTCCCAAACAAGGTTGAGAAAGAAGACTGAAACTGCCTGGGACTCTGGCCAGTTTCTCGCTGCTGTCCAGCACGTGCTAAGCAGAGCTCATTGCCCCCTCTAGCCCCACTTGCTTTGGAAAGTAGCTCTACACTGGACCAAAGGCTTCTGCAGCTGAGAGAAGGGTGAGTTGTGAGGGACAGAGCAGGCTTGGACCCTGAACAGTATCTGAACGGGGTGGGAGCAGCCATGACTGAAGCTTTCGGAGGCAGGACATCAGAAGTTGTCCAGGACTCAGTCTGGGGCTGAGTTTGCCAAAGCTTGGGCCCTGAACCACACTGACCAACCACTCTGGCCCCTTTTGCTCCAGTACTGATCCCCTTTGGGGCAGTGATACTGGTGCTGGGAGGGGCAGGAGCACACACTCAGAGGGACCAGAGCCATTTCAGAATAATTACAAGCTCCCAGAACTTCTGCTCCAGCAACTTGGGACCCAACCCCAACCCCAGAAGGGTGGTGGTGGCCACTAAGCAGGAGAGAAGCCCTGGCTCCTGCCCTGGCTCCTCTATTTCCAGCCCCACCTCTTAACAAGTTGATAGCTGCCAGCGCACCACGAGGAAACACATGACTCATGCTCTCCTACCAAAGCCACAGGGCACATGAAGACTGCAAAGGGATGCTCCCATAAAAGGATACCCCCTCAAGACTACAATAGGTAACTATTTTATACTAATTCCATAGAGGCCAAGAAAGTTAAGCAAAATGAGAAGACAGAGGAATTTGTTTCAACTGAAAGAATAAGAGAAAACACATAAAAACAACTAATGAAACAGAAATAAATAATTTACAAATAAAGAGTTGAAAGCATTAGTAACGAGAATACTTACCGAATCGGGGAGAAGAACAGATGAACACAGCAACGATTTTCACAAGGAACAAAAATTTTAAAAAGAACCTGTCAGAGCTGAAGAATACAATAATATTTAGAAATTGACAAGTAGCAGAGATCCCGTGCTAGCAAATACAATTAAATGCATTTTTTGTTTTTTGGTGAGATGACTTGTTTTGGATATTTGCATCCTCTAAGTTTCCACAATAATACTATAGCAACTGTTCTTATTTTTACAAAATTATCCTTAAATCTTAGGAAATAAACAGAGCGATGATCATGATCAATTTTCAACAGGAAAAAGCAGAACCAGCACAGAGAAAAAAGGCAGTGTGACTATTGTCCCAAGCTGGCGCCCATTTCTCTGATTCCCAAGTTAGTGATTCCTGGTCTCTACCATACCTTCCAGAACAACAATCCTGAGACAAATTGGTTAAGCCTCCAAAGAACTTAACGAGGACACCAAAAAAGAAAGTAATAAAAATAAGGAACTAATTACCTGACAAAGAGTAATTTTTAATTTAGTTTTGAACTTTGATGACTGGTACTTTGTTCTTATATTCCAGCCACAAAATCCATGCACACACAGTGAAAAGTGAGGGGTCTGCTTAAGAGATGGCTCTTCAGTACACACGTTTTTCTCTAGCGATGTTTCTCCAGCTCGGACTTACTTCCAGGACTACTGTTGCGGGGACATGCCTCATTCTGTTTCTGGTTTAGAGGGGAGTTTCTTGCTTATCAGGCTAGAAAACAAGTCACACGCACATGGCACAAACTGAATAGAGCTACTGGGTTTTAAATGCTTTATTACACTGACTCTAGTCTCCACTAAGGAAATCTCAGTTTGATCACAGAGAAAATGAAATATTTCTGAAACCTCACAAAATCGTGTAGCGTGCAAAGTAGAACTAGTTAGGCTTTTATATTTTTACAGAACAGAAGTCACTGCAAGTACATCAGCAGAGATTTTATCGCTGCCCTTCAGTCTCTAAACTGCAGGAGAGATGAAGGCAAACTTCAGAGGAAATTCCAAGGCAACTGCAGTCAAACATCCCAGAAGCTGCAGGGAGGATGGCATTACATGAAAGCTCACACTCACTTCTAAACCTAGGCTTCTGAAGTCTACAATTAAATTCACATCTTCTTTCCATCCAAAGAAATTACACGCATTTAAGAAACTGTTACCCCTACGTTGATTCCAGCCTAGTCAATGATTTGCAGTCTTAGCAGGAAACTTTCCTTAGGTGGTTGTTTTGTTTACTATTCTGCAACTGAAAATATTATCACTCACTTTAATAATTCAAAAGTGATAGTGACATTTGTATACATACTCACAGCTTAAGAGAAAGATAGTTGACTTGAATTTCTGAATTAGGAATGAAGAAAGGTGTTACACGGCTTTGTTGAAAAAAACCAATAAACTAAGGCACAACGGGAAAGATACAAATGACAGCTTTGTAACAACAATCATGAAAGTAACAGAAACATACCAGTGTTTTAAGGCTCATGCTAACAGACAGACTTTTAAAGAAATCGCCTATTTTAGTTCATTAAAGTATTTTTCACAGCCGCTATGATGTGTCTAGCGCTGATTCCAAACATATCCAGCAATTCACTAGGTTTCCCACTTGGAGGCACTGCCGACACTGCCAGGTGATGAACGTGGATGCCGGGCTCCCCTGAGACAGCCGCGCATACAGCTTCCCCAATGCCCCCTTCTTGGCAGTGCTCCTCCACCGTGATAACCCGGCCGCCTGTGGCTTTCGCTTTGGAGATAATGGTGGCAGCATCCAGGGGTTTAATGGTAAACGGGTCAATGACACAGACAGAAATACCTTGTTGAGAAAGAGCATCAGCGGCCACTAAGGCTTCATGCAGGGTAACTCCAGCGCCAATAACTGTAACTTTGTCATTACTGCTGTGGCGGACAACCTTGGCCTGTCCGATCTCAAAATTTTCTCCTGGGGTATAAATAACTGCGGTGTCTGGTCCGCTGGTTCGAATGAAGCACATTCCTTTGGTATTGGCAGCCAGATAAACAGCGTGCTCTGTTGAGACCGCATCGCTCGGATAGAAAACAGTGCAATTAGGAATGCTTCTGAACATGGCTAGATCGTCGAGGGCCATCTGGGAGGGTCCATCCTCAACCACCGACAGCCCGCAGTGGGAACCAATGAGATTGATGTTGGTTCGAGAGATGGCTCCCATCCGGATCTGATCGAATGCTCGGGTCAAAAAGGTAGCTAAGGTAGTGACGAAGGCGATGGTTCGACCACGTGTGGCACAGCCCAGCGCCACACTTACCATGTTTTGTTCTGCAGTGAAACACTCAATAAAACGGTCGGGGTGTTCTTTCTTGAATATCTCACAAAAGGTGTTCTTTGGATCACCATCCAGGACAATAACTCTCCCATTTGTACGGCCCAATTTAGCCAGAGCCAAACCATACGCTTTCTGAGTCGCTATCTTGTCACCCACTTTATAATCAGGCAAAGAGCTCATTTTTATATTCGTAATGCTGATTTGAGGGGAACCTTCAACAGGGGGGTTTGGAATGAGATTCCGGTTGGTCTGGATCTGACTCTCAATGAGTCTGATGACTTCCTCTGCTCTTTCTTTTGGCATTGGCTTTCCATGCCAATTTTCTGCATCCTCAACGTTTGGAATCCCCCGGCCCTTGAAGGTCTTCGCAACTATGGCAGTGGGCTTGTTCTTCACTTGAGCTGCTTGGCAAAACACGTGGCACAACGCCTCCACATCGTGGCCATCCACTAAGTAAGTGTTCCACCCAAAGGCCTCCAAGCGACTCCGATAGGCGTCTGTGCAGTGCTTCAGGGGCGTGACGCCACTTTGTCCCAGGCGGTTCACGTCGAAGACTGCCACGAGATTGTCCAAACTGTAGTGGGAAGCAAAGGCCAACGCTTCCCAGACAGAGCCTTCCGAAGATTCGCCGTCGCCCATGAGGCAGAACACGCGGTAGCCGGCCTTGTCCAGGTACTTGCCGGTATAAGCCATGCCGCACGCGGCCCCCAACCCCTGTCCCAGCGACCCTGTCGCCACATCGACAAACGGCAGTCTGGGGGTGGGATGCCCCTCCAGGTCACAGTGGATTGTCCTCAAGTTCAGCAGGTCGGGTTCGTCGACGCCGCCCGCCTCCACCCAGGCGGCGTAGAGGAGTGGCGCCGCGTGGCCCTTGGAGAGGATGAATCTGTCGTTGTCGGGGTGCCGCGGCTCCGTCTGCCTGTACCTCATCGTGTGGAAGAAGAGCACCGACACGATCTCGGCGGCGCTGCAGCACGACGTGGGGTGGCCGGAGCCGGAGGCACACGTGGCCCTGATGGAATGGATGCGCAGGCGGTTGGCCAGGTCCTGCAGCACCTGCACGGTGCCGGCGTCCGGCGGGCCGTTGTCGGCCATGGCGGCGCCCTCCCTGCTTCCTGCGGAGCAAACGGTCGTGCCTGGCGGTCCCGTCACGTGACAGCGCGCCCCGCCCCCGCCTCCTGGTAAACGAACATGAGCGCACGGGTGGCGTCATGTGACTGTGCACCTTCGCCCCGCCTCCTTGAGGAAAGAATTGGGTCGGTGCTGTCACGTGACAGCGCCCTGGCCCCGCCTCCTTGAGGAAGGTCGGCAGTCCCGCCACGTGACAGCGCACAGGGAAACTGCTCTCCAGCCAGAGGGGTGCGCGAGGTCCCTGCCCTGCCCCACCGCCCCCGTCCGGTGAGTGGATGTTGAATGTTTAGTCACTTGCATGCTCACCATTATTATTAAATATCTTTATACCTTTCCTCCTGCTGTAAATTCAAAAGGGGACCTTGGTCTGCCCGTGTGTTTGGGAAGCTGTGTGTTGAGGTCGTGCTGCCTTGATGGTCTGTCCGAGACATCGTCTCTGTTCTGCAGTAAAGCCTTAACGGGAGTGATCCAGAGTCACCTTCAGTCTAACCCGTACGGCAACATTATGTCAATGAGACTTTCTAGAGCAGCTGAAAATTCTGACTTTGACTTACAGACAGAAATGTGATTACTCATTTGACCAAAAGTTCCAGGAAGGTCAAATCTAAAACCACTGAGTGGCAGGGTGTCTAGAACTGCAATTTCCCTAGTGTACCCTAAAATACTGTCACTAGTAATAGATTTTAAAAACTTAATTTACTGGCTTTTTTTATAAAAACTAAACTTGTACCATTGAGCACTTTTAGCAGGAAAGGGTTACAGCTTATCAAAAACACCAGAAACACAATGACAGTAATATATCCACTTCCATGCTGCCGTGATAAATAGCTTGATTCTTGAGCAATAATACTTAGCACTGACTTCACATTAAAGTCATCACACTGGAAGCAAAAAATAAAAATGCCTGGACTCCACCCCCAGACAAGCCAAATTTAAATCTAAGGGGCTAGAGTCTGGGATGTTATATCTTAATTCACCTGTTGATTCTGTGTAAGGAAAATCAAATGAAGTTGGTCTTTGCTAAGAGAGCTCTAAAATGGAGCAGGAGGCCACTGAGGAAGTGATTTGACCATTTACTGTCTTAAGGCCAGCATCCAGAACATCTGCCCAATGTTCCAGAAATCAAGATGCTTATTGGACCCTCACCCTGAATAACTCTTGACAGCCTAGCCCTTAAGGACAAATGCCTCCTCCCTGCACCGGGGTCAGTCATGATCCTTGCCAGCTGAGTTTAATAACCTTGTGGCTTTTACCCTTGTAAGGCCCTCTTTCTCTCCCCTGAAGACTTTTGGTTTTACCCAAATCTGTGTCTCTGGAGTTGCAATTCCTAAGACCCCAAATAAAGCTCTTTGTTTTTGGCTGCCTTGATACTTTATTGTTTGACAATTCTGATGTTTAGTCAAAGTTAAGAGCCAGTAATCTTCAGATAGACTGAGGTCAGTGGTTCCCAAATTGGTTGTACTTTAAAATCATCTGAGGAGTTAAAAAAAACAAATCTCATGTCCACTCCAAAGCAATTAAATCATAATTTCTGGGTGATGGATCAAGGCATCCATCTTGAAAATTAATCTTGAAAATTCTCCAGATAGTTTCAATTTTTAATCAGGTTATAAACAACATATCAGGGGGTCTTGCCACTTTTTATATATCCGTTACATTGTATCTCAGAAAAAAGTTTGAAATATTATTTGCCATTTAAACTGTTTCTACCGTTTTTATTTTAAAGAATATATTTAGAATAAACCGTAATGGTCTAACACTGACAAGATTTTAAGACTTGCTGAAGGAATGTTAGATTTGGAAAAATCCTTCAAAGGTCATCTTGTATTATTCCACATGCCTTTTGCAAATTAATGGTTGCTTAGCTTTTTAGACAAATAAAGGAAGAGAAAATAAAAACATACTTAAGTAGGACTGGGAGGAAAGATGGGAATTAGAGAAAAAAATATTCACAGCGTCATAATAACAAACTACGAGGGGCCGACAGGAAAGCACTTAATATAAATGTAAGTAACTCACTATTATTTTGGCTGACAAGAGCTCTAGTAAATCCAAACAATTGGTAAACATGATATTAAAACGATCTGTGAGGCAGTGTTCATCTGAAAGAAAAATGGGAGAAATAAGAACTACTTAATATTTCTTTTCAAGTTCCCAAGTTCTTCCATTCATTTAAAGTATTGCACAACTATCTCCCAAAGTATTAAGCAGAAAGTTTTTAACATTAGTAAAGGTCAATTTTGTTAAGAACAGAATGCAGTCTTGGAAATTTAATACCCTAGATAATGAGTGTGAATTCCCGTATGTTGTGTGAGACTGTGTGGATTTTTTTTTACGACCTAAAAAATAATCTTTTACAAATTATCTGTAAAATATTTTAAAGTGTTCTGAGATTTTTTTTTTAGAGGAGGGAACGGAAATTTATGTATACATTATTAATATTTCTGGTAGGCATTTTTAGTCTTTGAAAATATTTTTAAATATTTAAATTGAAAATAACCATGTAAGTATAAAGTATGCATCATTTGATAATGCAGATCACCCAATGAGGCTGTGAACACAAGTTAGTCAAATAAATCAAAGCCACGGTATCACATTCTATTTTCTGCTTTTAGAAGAGACTGTTACTGACAAGAGGCCAGCCCACAGTTCTTCAGCCAACGTGCCAAAAATTCAGCTGTCTTGGAGAAAAGTCCATTTCTCATTTTAGAAGTCATTTTGGAAGACAGTCCAACATTGTCTGCAAATAGGAAGAAATTACTCATTTATTAATTTTGTTTTATCCACATAAAAAAAGGATTAGCAAACCCAAGTACCTACCAGATCAGGGAGTTACCATGAGTAAAGTAGTGCAGGGCTGGAGGGACCTAGACAAACTGGAGAATACAATCCCACCTGACGGCATTCAAAACTGAAAAATTTGTGAACATTTCACTGGGGGAGAAAATGTATCTTCAGACTGCCAGTTTTTACCCCTGATTTAAGGTCTGTTATAAATAAACACATACATCCACAAGCACATATTTTGTTTTACCTTTGTTTAAATGTTTCACTATAATTTTTTCTCACTATATGAAAAAATATTTTTTTTGTAGTGTGTACTTCAAGTGAAAAGAAAACCTAACAGGATCACTAATACAAATAGCTATGGAAGGGAAAGTAAAAATAGCCAGAAGTGGTATATGGGACTTCTGGGGAAATAGCTTCTAATTTTGTAAGAATTAAATGCTGGACATCGCTTGGAGGCAGTGCTATATTTTATTTCCTTAAATCTCTTTTAAAGAGTGTTGGACTTCCTTCGAGCAGACAGCTTGGTGCTTTAAAAATGTTTAAGTTCGTTAAGACAGATGCAAACTGTGCTTCACTCTGTGTTAATACAAAACCATAATCGTTGGGTCTCCACCGATGGCCCCGAGTGTTGAGCAAGGACCCTTGACTCTGGTCAGCTTTCAGATGTGTGGGTCAGCCCTGTGGGAGCTGGGGACTGTTTGGTTTATGCATGCCCTGCTCTGTGTAAGTTAGCCTTCTCTGCAGGGCTGTCCAGGCAGTGCCTCAGGAGGAGGAGGATGTGGTTTACCTTGTTTGTCTTCTTATTTGGGGTCACAGTCCTGTGCTGCCTGTTTTCCAGTGTATGAACATTGCTGTTGCTTTGTGTAGTGTGTCTACGTTTGCGGGTGTTTATGGCTACAGGGTAAGTCTCATTCTAAGTACTCTATCATAGTTTCAGAACATGTATTTTTTTTTTGAGGGGGAAGGTAATTTGGTTTACTTTTATTAATTTTTAGAGGAGGTACTGGGGATTGAACCCAGGACCTTGTGTATGCTAAGCATGTGCTCTGCCACTTGAGCTATGCCCTCCTTGCAGAACAGTATTGATTTTTAATTGAAGTATAGTGGATTTACAAAGTTGTGTTAGTTTCTGGTGTACAGATTCAGTCATACATGTGTGTGTGTGTATGCACATGATGACAAATACCCTTTGGTGCCAGGTGTGATACCAGGGCAGAGACACAAACGCTAATCTCAGCTAGTAACCACGGAAGTCGTCATATATATGTATATATATGAAACACACATTCTTTTTCGTAATAGGTTATTATGGGATATTGAATGTAGTTCACTGTGCTATATCATAGGATCTTGTTTATCTATTTTATATATAGTAGTTTGTATCTGTTAATCCCAAACTTCAAATTTATCCCGCCTCCTCCTCTCCCTTTGGTAACCTTAAGTTTGTTTTCTCTGTCTGTGTGTCAGAACAGTATTTTGAACCTTAATTACCTTACATGGGGCATACACTCCCCAGATAACACTAGTGCAGATTGCACCATTCTTCATCATTTTTCACATTTTCGCATTACCACTCTGACGCCAGAAGACGTTAGAGTTTGGGATTCCTAGCCACATCAATTATTGCTAACCCTGGTGTCATTTAAAAAGAACTATGTCCTCCAAAGTACAGTCTAAAGAAATCTGAATCGCTGAGAACTATGAAAGAAAACCCTCTCGTAATGGTTAGTTGAATTTTCTGGAGAGATTTAGTACTATTCTGTTCAACACAAAAACCTTCTGCGTTTGAATGATCTGAATTTAACGTCTCTAAAGCAAATCAAATACCCACCTTTCTTCTTTAAGACCGCCTCATTTTCTTTTTTTTTTTTAATTGAAGTATAGTTGATTGACAGTGTTGTGTTAGTTTCTGGTATACAGGGAACTATATTCAATACCTTGTAATAACTTTTCTTCTCATAAAGGGTACAAAGAATTTAAATCCAGCAAGGAAGACAGGTAGGTATGCACATGATGACAGATACCCTTCGGTGCCAAGTGTGATACCAGGGCGGAGACACAAAGGCTTCTCTCAGCTAGTAACCAGGGAAGGCGTCATTGAAGTGGTGAGCTTTGACCCAGGGTTTGGAGCATGGGTATGATTTTGGTGAGTGTAAATATGACAGGAGGTCAAGACCACAGTTCTGAGAGCAGAGAGAGGGAGTTTCTGATCTGATGGGAAGGGAAGATTCACGCTGAGAACAGCAGGGGGGAAGCAGGAAGTCAGATTTTGAAAAGGGCTTGAAACAGAGCCAAGTGAGCTGTTTTTGCGTTTTGTTTTGTTCTTTTGCTTTTGGGTTGAGGATGAAGTGCAGTGGAAAGATTTGCATCATCTGACTGTCCTGACCATGGCCGTGTTGGGGAAAATTGCCCCGATGGTGTTGGGAGAGAGAA